ATTAATTTTTTTCTCGTAACTGAATATTTTCGACAAATATTTTTAAAAAATCGTTCTCTATTCAAGAACATGAAATAGAAAATCACTAGAAAATATTTTCGAAGAATAAAGAGACTCCTGAAACTAGATTTTCGGTTGTCCGCGGCTCAGCAATAAGGCGGTTTTCTAACAATATGAATAAGTTAATCTGTGTGCTAGTAGAGCCAAACGTATATTGAGAAGTGAAAGAAATATCATTTCAAGTTTGGACTGTAGTATAGTTCAATTTCTTCTATTTAATATTTTTTTTGCATTTTGGTATTTTTTGTTTTTTTTGACTTTTTGAATTTTGTTTTTTTTTTGATTTTTTTTGATTTTTTTGACTTTTATTTTTTTTTTATTTTGGAAGTTTTTTAGATTTTTCGACTCAATTAATTTAGTTCGTAATTCGAGAATCTACACTACAATACTCTTGTATTTGCTTCTATGAATATATGATCAACTAAAATTTTCAAGAGAGGTTATTATTACTGATTTTCCGATGTGAAGTTATGTGAGGATTGCAGTATCCACTGAAAAATAAAGAGAGTACCTCACCATAAGTTTTGCCTTGTTGGTATGCATCTAAAGATCGCCAGAACCTTCGAAAGAGCTTCAATTGTATTTCTTTTTTAGCGAAATACTCTCTAGACTCTGGAATCAATCGCATCATTGTAGGAAATGATTGATCAGTCATCTTTCGCACATATTGTTTCATGTAACACCATAATCCTTCGATAGCATTGAGCTCGCAATGGAACTTAGGTGCGAAAATTACTTTGACATTATACCTTCGTGCCAACGTCTCTAATTTCGATGCCTTCTGAAAGGCTTGATGATTAGAGAGAATCTTGCGAAGTTCAGGTAGTTTGATTGTAAGATCCACAGGCACTTGTAGCTCCTTGGCTAGTTCGAGAAGTCCTTTGGATTTCCCTTTATGTTCACCGCTATCAAAATAACACGAGATCGAGACGATGTTACCTTGATTATTGATGTATTCAATTGCATTAACTGGACACTTGGTACCAATTTTTTTTCCGAAGTCGTTGATATTGTATTCCTGAGCCGAATGAGTTTTGGCGTTGTCCACGATAATTTCGATTTCGTGACTTTGAAAGTCTTCCTTAAAGCCAAGTAATTGGAAAAGATGTTCAAATTGAGCCAAAATTGTTTCGTTATCGAAATAACCTTGTTCTCCTACGTTGATTCCAGACCTTGCCGAATAACCATCGTACATTGAAGAGATAGAATCTGTTAAAAGGTTAGGATAATATCTCACTGCCGCATCATATTCTTTCTCAGACAGAGAAAAGAAAGGTCCTGAGGGATGTTGCACCAAAAAATCACTGATCATATGGCTTCGGCCCCTACCTTTCGAAAAAAATGGAGTGCATCCATCTACAACCCACCTCTTTGAAGATACTTCGCCGCTCTTGAAGGTTGATTCGTCGTGAACTAAAATAAAATCGTTGATTATTATGTCTTGGAAATGAATAAAAAGGTATCAAAACTTACATATTAAGACGCATGGCTTTTGCTTTGGCATGCTCCATGTTGGGTTTTCTTCTTCAGATATTGTATAGTATTTATCCTTTCGTGCTAAAAAATACGAAACAAATTCATTTCGGTGTTTGATGACATCGTCACGCTCGTGACCTTCGAAGTATGGTCTTTGGCTATTCGGTTGAAACTTGGCACCCCATCGTCGAAGATCAAGACGGCAACTCTCTGGAGAGCGTACTAATGTATCGTTCATTTTAGAAGCTTCAGTTATTTCATAATATCTTCTATCAATATATTTCGCCATGTATGATCAAAATAACGTAGAACCATATATACAAGCACAGAAAGTTTACGCGAACCGCATTCAAGCTTGCATAATTCAAATAGATCACCAATGCTGAACAAATCTAGTCTTGATTTGAAGCCATTTATATCCATCAACGAATCATCGTCATCTTCATCTGACAGAATGAAATCATCACCTTTTTCATTCTCCTTTATAGCCATTGATGCTGGCTCATAGTGCTCTTCATCAGATGAAAATTGTTCTTTTTCACATTTATAACGGTGCAAAAGAGCAACCCAAGCTTGCTTTCGCCTTTTGCATTTACGAGGCATGATTAATAAAGAAAAATTATTAAAAATGGTAAAACAAATGTGTAATTAAAAACGTATGATCAAGTATAGTCGTATATGTATCGTAAGCAAAATATACGAACACAGTATATGGTTATATAGCGTATTCACTTCCACTGAGAGTAGAAAACAGACTCTAGACACATTAGAAGGCTTGAAATATCAATTCTAGTAAGTATATAACGATTTTTTAAAAATATTTGTCGAAAATATTCAGTTACGAGAAAAAAATTAATGACCAATTGTAGGCGTTCTTTTCTGACAACACAGTCAATTAGTGTTGGTGCCTTTTCTCAGTGATGAAACAAAATTTTTCAAAAATCCTACGTAACTTTTTTCACTGTCACTTGGTGAATCTATTGATGTATAAATATTTAAAAAATATTCTAAAATGAAAGACTAGATAGGTTTGCAAGGTGAAGCTGTCGCCAGGTCATTTTTTTCTCACCCTGCATCATTTCGTAAACAATTACTCTATAACAGCTTGTTTGATCGAAATAAAAATTATACCATTAGATTCAGCTTGAAAATCTGAATCTAAACCAATAAGTTTCAGAAAGAAATAACGAAGATATGAATGAAAAAAATCTTATTTTTCTGAACAACACCTATTGGTCGATTTTTTCGGATTTTTCAGTATTTTGATGTTTTTTTCCCCAAAACATGCTCAAAATATAAAAAATCATACATATTCAGATTCAGCTTGACGAGCTCTATCTAATGATGTATGAAACAAAACAAAAATTTTTTTATGCTACACTTTTGCCTTTGGTGCACCTTATTTAAACTTTTTTCTTTGATATATAGCTGAGTAGAGTGTTTGTTTCTGTAAAAACTAATGTTTTTCCCAACTTTGAATCAGGGTTGTCTAATATTTTCTGCACGCTTCAGTAAGATGAGTCTCTTCCATCTAAAGCAATTTTCATCATTCATAAATTCAGTTGAACTGAAATACGAGCTTGCAAAAGTTTTGATTCACTGCTTCTGGGAATTTATCAAATCTTTCGAGAAGTTGCAAATAA